TGTTAAATGTTTTTTTCTAATTATCATTTTGCAGGAGATTCTCAATGTTCATGATTATTGGAGATCTCTAAATGTCACTTTCATTGCATTTGTTAAAAACAATCACCTCTTTCACATAGACCTTTTTAATCTATGGGTGAATAGTTGGTTTGAGCTTTTATTATTTTTATTATTATTATTTTATTTGAGCTTTTCACCTTGATGGATTCTCAACTGTTCAGAGTTGGAAAATATATTTTGTTTGTTTTTAGCACACAACGTGTTTGTTGAAATGCTTCAAATGATCTTTTCACCCTTTACCTTTTGTTAATTGTGCTTCTATATTAGTAATTTCATCACACTGACTGTGGTTCTTGTGACCTTCCACCTAAGGATATATCCAAACCAAATGATTGGCAAGGTTTTGTTGACCATCTAATCACTAAAGATGATGCTACAACGCCAAATTAGGAAAATATTTGTTAACTATTAGAAGTTAACTTGGAAATACATATTTGCTTTCTCTATTAAGTCGTGCTTTATGTCATAAGTAAAGAAGAAGTGGTTTGTAAGATATTTTAGGAAGATTAAATATATAGCTTAATGTTTGATTTTGGAATCTGATTCTTTTGACACAAAAACTAGATGTAAAAAAAACATTGATTGCTTTTGTATAACTTTATCTCAATGTTTGATATGTTCATTTGTTCTTAACAGGAATTAGTGAAACACAAGATGGAAGTAGCAAACCATAAAGAAATATGGGAAGACCACAAAGCTTACAATTTCAAACACCAAATGGTTCATTAGAAGGTGTGATTAAACTTGTTATTCTCTTTTTAGAGCTATAATCATCTGGCAAACAAAAATATTTATGATGCTTTATTGGGCTTAATGGGAATGCGAATTATTCTGGTAAACTTTATATGAATGTTTCTTTTATACTTAACGTAGAAAGAATTTAAAATAGAGAAAATTTGGGAAAGGAGGCTTTCCGCTTTAAGTCCCAAATGTTTTATGAATTTGGCCTTATTATTGTTTCCTTTATTTTTGCATTCAATTTCCCCCAATATAGTCATCTTTTGAAACATAGACTTCTTTTTTCTCTAGGGTTCTATGGTTATAAATGAGAGTATTTGGATGGATTATAAGGTATGTATTAAGATATAGCTCGAGATTTTGATTGTGTGGTTGATTTTTGTTGCTAGGTAGCTTTTGGGATTCATGTTTTAGAATTGTTATGTCAGCAGTCGGGAAGCATCAACTCTTGTAGCTTAATTTCCATGGCTATTTGTATGTCTCACTTTTCTTTATGTTATTGCATTCGAAATTACCAAATTAAGTGAATTTATTTTTCCAGATATAGAAAAATAAATGAGATATCAAATATTTTATAGAGATAAATTCACCCAAAATTCTTATTTTTATATATTCATATATCGTATATTCACATGACAATATAATGTGGTATATTCACATGTTAGCAATACATGATATATTCACATATCACCTAAAATTATTATTTTTACTCCCAGAGCTATGTGTTTGATTACTTTGTTGAAACAATCATCTTGTTTCCCTATTTCCTCACAGTAAGTTACTTATTTGATCATCTTTAAAAGCACTAAAGTTTAGTTCATATGTGAATCACGTATGAATTACATGTAAATTACATGTAATTCATATATGAATCACATGTGATTCACATGTAAATCACGAGTGAACACATATGAATTACATGTGATTCACAGGTAAATAACATGTAATTCACATATGAATTACATGTGATTCACATGTAAATCACATGTAATTCACATATGAATCACATGTGATTCGCATATAAATCATGAGTAAACAAATATTAATTACATGTAATTCATATGTGATTCACATATAAATCACATGTAATTCACATACGAATTACATGTGATTCACATGTAATTCACATATGAATCACATGTGATTCACATGTAACTCACAAGTGAACACATATGAATTACATATGATTCGCATGTAAATAACATGTAATTCACATATAAATTAAATGTGATTCACATGTAATTCACATATGAATTACATGTGATTTATATATAAATCACATGTAAATCACAAGTAAATCACATATGAATTACATGTGATTTACATGTAAATGACAAGTGAATCACATATGAATTACATATATATATATATATATATATATATATATATATATATATATATATATATACATGCATTTTGTGTGGGTGTTCTTTGCAAAAAAAATTAAATTAAATTAAATTCCTTGTGAATTTCACATTTTAATCATAAAAGATACAGTCACATGTGAATATCACATTATATAATCACATTTGAATCTTACATGATATGTACATATATATATATATATATATATATATATATATATATATATATATATATATATATATATATATATATATATATGTTTATGAGTGTTCTTGCGTTAATCGATTTTTTTATTTTCTTGTAGATTTGAAAGAATTTGTGAAAAATACTGAAGATGTGAAAAGTAATAAATTAAAGAAAAATATGTAAACATTCACACGAAGACATGAAAAGGCTTTGAAATTTTGTAGCATTTTTAGTTATGTATATTTAATTTTGTTTTGAATATAATACTTGTATAATTGTGTTTATAGATTAGTAATAAAAATGGTTTTTTTTATGATTTAGATATGAATATTATAGTATAAGAAATATATGTGTACATGCACTTGAAAGTATATGTAAATATACACGTAAAATCTTGTGTTTTTGGTTAAAAAAATTGTAGTTTTTTAAAATATTCTAGTTTTTTTAAAATTTATTGTTTTAAAAACATTGCAGTTTTTTTAAATAACTAAAATATTTCAAAGTTTTTTTTTAAATTCATGTTTTCTAAAAAAAATCTTCATTTTTTAAATAAAAAATGAAAATTACTATTTTTAAAAAAATCCGAAAATTAACTTAATTATGTTAATTTTTAGATATTTTTATTAATATTTCTAATAACACAGAAATTAAATATTAAATGAAATATGTAAGATGACGATCATGTTCTTAATATATATATATATATATATATATATATATATATATATATATATATATATATATATATATATATATACACACACACACTCTCTCATTTGAATATGTTATGATCTCAACACCCCTTACCATTATATGAGAGTGGGACGGTGTTCATTGTATTATAATATCATTATAGCATGCCACATAAGATCTTAAATCCCCTTAATGGGCTCATACGCAGTAGCCTAAAACCTATATATAAACTCATGATGTTTTGTAACCGTATTTTTAAAAATCAAAAGTGTATTTTTTTGTAAATATTTTTAATTCATGAAACAATGTTAACATTTTTTACTAAAATTTCGATTTCTTAATGTATTTTATAAAAGAAATATCAAAGAAAAACCAATATATTTTGTCTGGTCACTACTTTAATTTAACCATCAACTAGTATTTCTGTCATTTTGTGCGTTACGGTGGAGAATATATTTGCAATTAATCAAAACGAAAACTATATAAAAAAATTTATGCAAGGAAAACATAACTTTTAATGGGTGGGATAACTCCTTGCAATTCGTATATTGAATATGATTTACAAATGTCAACAGTGCACATAAAGCTCGGTGACGATTATGTCATATCAAGTAGACCATAAAAGTATCAAAATCAAGTTTTGATCCAAACAATTTTGTATGGAGGAGGTGGATAAAAATAAGTTCTCGAAGTTTTTTTTTTGCAAATTAATAATAATAATAATAATAATAATAATAAACTTAGGTGAGATACAAAAAAACATAAACTTAAAACATAATAGGGGTCAAAATCGTAATTATAAAATATCAATAATTTAATGACAAAATTACACAGATGCTCCCTATGGTTGGCACAAGAGACCAAAGATAGTCCTTATGAGGAATTTTGAATGGGTATGGTTCCCGTGGTTCCGAATTGTTGCACGGACAGTCCTTATGACTGACTCTTTTTTATTTCTATCGTTTATCAAAATCATGTGACCCTCACACAAGGGTATTTTGGTCTTTTGCTTTATTACACGATCTGTTCATATTCATAAATGATCCTTACAGCCAACTATCATTTACCTCACACCCAAGAAATCAACCCTTTCTTCCCCCCTCTGGTTTTTCATCTTCATCACTTTGAAACTCAAACGAAAACTAGGGTTTTCATCTTCATCTTTTGCGATGGTTCTAACTTTGTTGAATGTCTGTTCAAAGTTCTTAGATTTATGGTGGGTGCTCAGTTAACAACTTTCAGTTTTGTTAAATTTTCCATT